GGAAAAGAGATCTGATCACCACAGACAGATATTGCCACAAGATTTTTTTTTTCCCCCAGTCTGTCATGGTTTGACACTGGCACAATGCCAGTGCCCCCCCATGAAAATGCAATTTCTCAACTGAATGCTGTGAAATGCGATCGAGAACAGAGCAAAGCAGGCCCAAGCTTAATAACAAGAAAAAAACTTTATTAAACTACTACCACTATGCTACTATAAAAGGGGGGGGGGGGGGGGGGGGAAGAAGAAAGAAACACACACAATTCAAAATGAAAAACTTCCAAAGCATTCCTCCTCCCATCACCCAACTCCAACAAACCACAGCGAGACACAATCTGGACCCCAATCAGGTTTCCACCCTCCAGATAATCAACACCCAGTCCATCTGCAGGGATAGAGGAGTCTCTCCTGTGCCACAGACCCCCTAAGAAACACAGCTGCCACATCCTGTGCTTCCATGTCACCACATGGCACCGCCCGGAGAAAAAAAAGTTTGCCAGTGGTGACCCTCTCCTTTCCATTCACAGTGCTCTCACCACCAATGCATGGATGGACAGACTGCTTTTAGGATTTTTCCTTTCAAGGATGCCCTGCCAAGAGGGGAAAAACAACAGTTCAGTTTTTTCATTTTTGGGACCACAGTCCCCCCCCATTTTCCCCTGGGGCCAAGGGTCCAAGAGCAGAAATCTTCTTCTCTTCTTCCTCTCTGAAGACAGGGGGCACCACCACAAACCTCCTTAACTTTTCTCTGTTCGCTCCACTTCTGTCTTTTCCCAGCTGAAGCATGGTCTCTTTGGCTCACTGGCATCCTCCTAAAATACAGTCTCTCTTGGAGGAGAAGATCAGTTCAATCTGTGGCTACCAAGAAAAAGTCCAGCCAAACAGCCACTCCATCATCTCCTCCCACCTAGAATTTCTCTTTCCAACATCCCAGGTCCCAGGCTGTCTCTCTTCCTCTCTTTTTCAAACCAAGGAGGAGAAAAATTTCACAAAGCTTTCATTTCTCAGGAAGGGTTAAAAGTCCCGACTCCCAGAGATGGCTTGCTGCCCAGGCTCCAGCTCCCACCGCCCGACTGGGCACCTTGCGGCCCCCCCGCTCTTCTCCTTCCCTGCAGTGAACTGCTGATAAAACCACCGCCGTCTCTTTTTCTCTTTTGGGAGAGAGAGAGACTCTGGGGGGAACGGAGACATCCCAGATTTTCTCCACCCTTCCATCTGCAGGGGGGCCAGCCTGGTTCCAGCCCCTCCACCCTTGGGCCTACCTCCGAAGACCACATGGCTTCTCCCCTCCCCCACCCAGCTCATCGCCGGGCAGGGGAGAGTCCTGCACTGACCGCTGACCGGAACCCAAAGAGAGCAAGTTTTCCTGGGAATTCTGCTTTTAACCCCTCTGTGTTCTCAGAGGCGTGTCTACTTTCAATTGGTCAATGTCCAAACTGACCTCTTCCTTCCGGAAAAATTCTTTTTCCGTGTCAAACCACGACACAGTCTTAGGAAAATAACATGTCAAAGTCTTCTTGCCTGACCTCCATAGAGAAAGGGCTTTTAAAAAAACAAAAAAGTTTCCCATACTTTGCACTGTCTTTAGACTAAACTTTTGTGACATTTTTTTTAGTCCATAGGAAGAATGGGGAATTTGAATTTATGAAGATCTTAAATTAAAATATGTGCATTCTTTTGCCACGAATGATACATTTATATTATACATTTATATTTTAGCTTTTCTTTGGTGTGCTATAAAGCAGGATTGTGCAATTCGTTACTTTTGGAAGAAAAAGAATTGGCTATTTAATGTCAAAACTAAAAAGGAAATTTGTGTTCTGCATGCAGCAATGTAAATCTGTCTAAAAGCTTCCTTTCATCCTTGTCGCAGTTCCTTCTTTTGCTTTGTATCGAGACTCTGCCTTCACAGTTTGTTCACAGGCAAGGCCTAAGCTTCTCCAATATTTTACATTTGTCTTCTCCATTAACAACTGGAAAATCTGTTGGATTAATAACAATGGGGATTAAAACTTTGGAACTTGTCATAGGACTTGCCAAAGAAGACATGCTGCTGAATCCCAGGACTCTGAAATGTGGCCTGTTGAGATTACAGCAGGGATTCTTGCCTCCAAGGTTTCTTCCAACCTTCACTGAAATTCTGCAACTCCCCTACACACCTGCCCCATGTACTTGTGTCTGAGTAACTCTGTTTATTTCTTTTGGATTTCTGCCAACAGTTTAGGCCTCAAGTAAATTCTCTTATCTCCTGTTAAGTCAATATTTCTTTAAATTCCAGTAGACAAACTTTATAGTCTAAGTCTTTTCAACATGTGTATTGTTTAAAAGAGGTCTGGAGTGTCTGCAGAAGTTCACCTGCGATCTTTTGAATAACGTGTGTTGTTAAGAATATCAACTTGGTATTGATTATTCCTTTTTTGAGGTGAAATGTCAAAAAGAAAATAAGTTTATTTTTCCTAAAAAGACAGCGTGAAATATTATATTAATGAAATTCTGTTTTTATTCCACAGACTGAAGGTTTGTATTCCATCTTTTTATGCTCTGTGCAAGTGAACAAAGGTCTATTTTGTTGTTTTGCATTAAAAAGAGTTGTTGGATAGCAGACTGTATAATAGAATAAAAGTGCTTAAGGGCAAAATATTTGTGGCTTAGATTTTTCCAGCAAGCAAATTTGGAATTTTAACCTTTTTTTTTCCAAGTTAGCTCTTCAGGCTTCTTTGCTGTGAAGTGCAAAATTATGCACTCACACTCATTTCCCATGTTTGCTTGTGGTAAGAATTGTGAGACTAAATTTCTGATACCTCATACACATTGGGAGGAGGAGTCACCTGTTGCAACTAAATAAAAATAAATTTATTTGAAAGAAGGATTTGCAAACTTGACTTACACTTCCAGTAAGTGCGTTTGGTTTATACTGCCTTTAAAAGTAAATATGTGAATACCACTGTGCAATTATTTTAAATGGTGCTGTTCTTATACTTCTTTTATCAAGCGCTTTCTTTTTATCACCACATGTGAATTGCAGTCACTGTATCTGCTGACTGGTTTTTTTTTTAGTTTTTCATTTCCAAAAGCAATAGCATTGACTTTTGCAAGACTAAAGAGAAAGTATTTGTTAGGAAGAGCTCTTTGGAGATACACATATATGCATTTTATGTGTGTATGTGAACATTTCTATATAAATATCTTAAAATATATAGAGACATATATATAGTTACAGTATAGTGTATTTAAAAAGTATAATCCCCATGGATTTAACTATGTATTTTGCTATCGGCAGGGATAATTTTATTTACAGTTGAGCATTGTGTGTTCCTAGAATGATGGGAAATGTTCAATTGACATTAGCTGTAACTACTTTTTGTCATTTACAGCCTCCTTTGGTCTCCAAACTGGTATCAAAATAAAATTCAAATTCCGCTAATTCTTCTGAACAATATGAATATACAACTTGCACAGTTGTATATATATATATAAGGGTCCAGATCACCCTTTAATAGGAATCAAACCCCATAAAGAGATGTACTGCAGGAAGATGCATAACACACTGCAGGGCACCTGCCTAACGCTGTGTTGTGTGATCTTACCCTGAATTTTAGTGCATTAAGAGGCTACTTTCAAGTACAAAACTTAAAATGTTGCATATAATTTTATTGGAATATGGCCTTCTCCCTTAAAGCCAGATCTGAATTGAAGATGTGAAATTGCAAATACTTACAACATCGGTGACTGAGAAAAACAATGGTAGCAACCTCAGCCATATTCAAATGTTCTTAAAGGATCTGACACCTTTGGAGCTGTGTGGTAGACTGTACATTGGAAAAATAATAAGACTCCTATTTTTAGTTTTAATATAGTTATTTCTTTAAACTCTATAAGTACTTTCGACTTTATGCTTCTGTCAGTCAACAAAAGTCCAAAGGAGTAACATCTTCAGCTAAAACATTGTAGTGGGAATAGGAAATAAATCTCTAAAAAGACTGGTTGTTGCAATCAATACCCAGGTAGTTTAGGTGACAGGTATAATTGATATAAATGATTTTTTGTTTTATATTGAGTTTTGCTAATTCCTTTGCTTTCTGCCTGTGAAGGTATTGGTTGAAGCAGCCCACTGGGAACATGTTGACTGTACATACAACCTCTGTGACTGATATGGATGTAATGAGGTTTTTTTTCTTGTTTCATAGGTCTTGCAGTCATTCCCCTGACCAAGGGCTCAACAAGCACATTCAGGCTTCTTATGAAAAACAGCTCTGCCAGCTGAATGGCAGGAAGCTTATGAGTTTGTTTGCCAGGCTTCTCTGAGTGTATAAACCAGTTGCTGCAGCTCTAAAAATGATATGACTGGTGCAGTAGTGATTTTCTGCACTGAAGGTGGATGCTGACAGGAGTTATGTACTGCAGATATTTTAGTGAACTCTGAAAAGACTGTGCTGTAATACAACACTCCCAGATACAGAATTCTGTGGTTCTGATTTCTTCTAGCATGTGATTTCTTCTCCATCATTATTTCTGTAGAATTATATTTATGGGAAACTAGTCTTTATGACTGTGCTTTACCTTGTAACAAGGAATTGTTCTCCCTTGTTTAATATATTTTGGCTCCAGAGTATACCTCAGTTTCCTGCATTTATTTATGTGTTGGGGAAGTGTGCGAGGGGCACAGAAAATGCATGTGCCCTATGCCTGTGAAGGTTAGGACTGAACTTAAAATCTGTTGTGCCAGGCAGCGACTACTTGGACAGCTGCCTAGCCAGTTTCTTTTGATTCTAAATGTTCTATGTCATTTCTAATACTGCCAAGGGGAAACACGTGGGTTTTATGTATTGTTCACTAACTATTCCGTGAGGGGGTCAAAAACACCACACTGGAGTATTAATAGCTTTTCTCTGAAAATAGTAAATGCTTCCTGTAATTGAAGAGTAAGCCTCTTGTTGTCATTCTAGTATAAATATGTTATGAGAAACCCTTGTTTAAAAACATCTTTTGCTCTTGTTCAGTGTTTGTCAGGTTCAACTCCAGCCATGGCTTCCCCGTGGAGGTTGGTTCAGATTCCAGCATCCTCCAGTTGAAAGAGGCAGTTGCCCAGCGACAGGGAGTTCCAGCTGACCAGCTGCGGGTGATTTTTGCAGGGAGGGAGCTCAGCAATGACTTGACACTGCAGGTAAGAATCCTTGGTAGCTTCTCGCCTGGACTGCTGCCAGCTACACTGCCTCTGCCTCTAATGCTGCCAATCTGATGTTCATGCCTGAGATCTAATAAAATAAATAGTGCCTGGGGATTCCTTGAACTTTACTCCACACTGCTTCATTAATTCTGACCTTCTTAATTATGCATTAAAACAGCATGCAGGAAGGGTAGGGAAAGAGAGAGAAAACGAGAGAGAGAGCATGAGAGAGAGCTGTGCCTAGTGGATAAATGTTTACTGACTACAGAAGCAAGCCATGCACAATTTCTGTATCTGTTCAATTTCTATCTTACTTATTCCATTTGAATCTTAATGAAGAAGGATGTGAATAAATTGCTCTAAATCAGGCTGCACAGTCATCACATTTTATAGAATTTGTAACCCAATTGTGACCCCTGGAGGATAGCTACACGGCTGCTGCTGTGCCTTGTGCTGCTGTGCCTGCAAAGGTCTGTGATGCTGGAGGGGTGGTTCCAGATCAGAAAGCCTACAAAAGTGTTCTCCAAACCACTGAACTCCTAAATGTGTGAAGCTAAAAGAGGAGCAGGGAGCACAGAAGAGCAGCTATAAGTAGGTATCTGAATTTCAGCTCCTGAAGATTAGCAAACCGTTCTCTTCAATAAATGCAGAGGACTGTTCATCTGTAGTGAGCAGTAGGAAGCACTGAAAGATAGGTTCAAGTTGCTCTTTGCTACTGCTACCAGTGCAGCTGTATTTGCTTTATAAATAGTTTTTTTTTACCCTGTGTGTGCATTTGTCAGTTCACTCCAATAGCCAGGGTTTAGCATAAGATAACACGTTTAAGACAATTGAGAAACAGGGGGAAACCTAACTGGCCTTTTAGCGTAGTGCAAATACTGAATTAATGAAATTGCCATCCTTCTACAGTGGTATCAAAGAGCTGCAGATACAACCTATAATAGTGCAGGTGATTGTATAAAAGATCCCTCACATGTAGAACTATTCAGATTAATTTGTACTCATATTTCAGACATATTGTTGTGCTCAGAATGGCTGCTAATAGTGCTTTCTGAGTACAGAAAGTCACTATGGTATTGATGACCTATCACTGTTTCTCCTTGGATATGGTATTTGTTGCTTTGCGAAGGGCTTTAGGGGATTCCAGCACACAAAGAAAGGTGGAAAGAAATGTGGAAAATTTCACAAAGAAATGTGAATTGCTGTCAGTCTCCAGTGCATCAGCTGTAAATAGTGTTGATGCATACCTGCAGTGTGCTCCACATACCTGTGGAAACATATATATTAAAGTGTAAGAATAAAAAAAAAGTCATGTGAATTTCAGAAGCTGTCAGTTGCCAGTTGCTAGATAGGAGTGTCTGTGTTGTTCTGTCAGAAGATTCTGAACTACTTCACTTTTCCTGGCAAGCTTCAGGTGTTGGTATTACTGCCATTTTGTGTCAGCAGGAAACATAGATTTTCAGCCCAGTTTGACACTTGCAACCAAGTTTGTTGTTGGCTACAGCATGCAGTCTGTTGCCAGGGTAAATTAAACAAGGTGTTCCAGATATATATGGACTTCTTGATTATGTAATTTCCTTGTTTTGTCATAATTATCATATCTAGTCAAGACTTCCTATTATTTAGTAAACTAGATCCAGATTCATTGCTTAGACTTTTGGTTTCTAAATCAGGAAAAAAAGCTGTTTCACATGGTACAATTCATACTTTTGTGTTTAGGTGTCTTAAATATTGCATTGATTAATATAATCAACATGTATCAACTTCATTTTTATTCTAGATATTTGAATGCACTCTACTTTGCTGCTGTGTTTATTTTTTTTCCTTTTAATTGTTTATATTTATTCATCTTGGAAATTTGTCAATGCAAGAAGTGTTGAGTATTTGAGGAGTTTGGGTTCCTGTGGTAAGCTGTCTGGGTTTTTTGCAGAAAATACCAGTGTGCTAGTGAAATACTAACTGCTGGCATTTATGTTGCACCTCTAGTTTCAGAATTAACATCAAATATGAGCAAATTAACTAACTCTTGTTTTCTAGATCTGTGGATTTGGATGTAAAATAATCAGCTGATGCTTTAAATTATTTCATTTTACAATAGCATAAAATTTCTGGTAAAATAATTTTGTCCTGTTTTTTGTAAATTGCTTCTGAACTTATTTGCCCAAGGTATTGTGGAAGAATCTAGAGGTCAGAAAAAAGAACTGATGGTATTACAGATAATGAGATTATAGAGGACATGAGAAAAGCTGCAGTAATTGCAGGAGTATAGGGCAGGGATATAGGAAATACTCCAGGACAGCAAACTATTTGTTTCACAGCTCACAGAACAACTAGATTTGCCTTGGCAGCTACCATAGAATCTCAGGCAGTCAACACAAAACATAACTGAGAATGTGAAATCTGCGTTTGTTTTCCTGTTTGGAGAGAAGAGAAAATAATTCCTTTTAAAAAATAAATGAAGCTGAAATGGACAGATGTTAAAGAGAAATTATTGTTAGAAAGAAAGTGCCAAGTCGAGATCTTGAATAACTAATTTAATATCAACAACAACAGTAAAAAAATTGTAGGAGGGATAGAAGAGAAATATGTATGGATACATTTAATTTGGTACCACAGATACGTGTTTTTTCCTTGAAAAAAGAAAAGAAGATCAGACACTGATTCCACTGTACACAGGAGAGATCAGTATCTGAGCTAGTGACTAAGGGACAAGTAGTGAAATTAGAGCCATGGTAAGCAAAGATTGGTAATGACTGGATGAAGAATGAGACCTGCAAATTTGAATCTCATAAGAAGGAATTAGAGCAATAAGCTGACTCCTGAAAGCCTAGCAAGCAGTGTCACTTAAGTGTGCTAAACATTCCAAAGAATAATAATAAGCTCCCTGACGATTACAGTTCACTTTGGAATGAGTAAAAGTAATTAATTAATATAGACCCAAAAATTAGGAATTCTTTCAAGATTGTCATGAGTATGGAAGAATAGTGGAAAGATCTTCCTGTAGCAGTCCTAAGATGGAAAGAAGAACAGAACCATAACAGAGTCACCAACAAAATAAACAGGAGGTAACTGCATATCAGGGACCTTGAAGTGTTCTAAGAGGAGGCGACTGGGTATTGTATTGTCATTGCCTCAGAGAATGACAAAATTAGTAAACAAAGCTTCTGTTAGTAAAGTCTGTAGTATGTATTGATAAACAATCTTGCTCAGTGCAAGCAATTTAGAAGTTACTACTGATAATAGCAGTACTATTATATTAGTACAGACTTCCTCTTTCTTGGAGGACTCGGAGTCCCCTTGTGTAAAGGAGCTCTTTACAGTTCCTGCAAAGAGTTTGCAGGAGAGACTCCCTTCCTTGCAGACCTTATAGTGTAAATGAATAAAGCAGACAAATGATGTGATGGGAATCAGTAGCTTAGCTTGTCCTCAATCAGGGGATAGAATTAAGTCTTGTTTCCCAATTCTGTACCATTTCTTTTTGACAGTGTTTCCTCTATAAGGTAAAGCTAGAAAATACTGTTTTTTGAAACAGAAAAGGACTAAGCGTGTGGTAAGTAGCAGTCTTGTTAGTTTTGTGATAACAGCTGTGCTCCCCTGAGACAGATTCTGAGTCAGTGTTAGCTTGCATTTGGCTACAGCATAGGCTTGAGGTGTGGAGCATAGGTTTCACGTGAATGTGGTTTTAACTGCACCCATCCATATAGGTGCTTGCCTAAAATAATTGATAGATACATTCAAGAAACAACGAAGCATGCCTAGAAGTTATTGTTAAATACTGTGAGCTCATAAACATAACTGAAAATTAGTAAAAAGGAATGGCACAATTGTAGTAGCAACATAGATCATCATCTATGCAGAGGAGGGAAAAAAGAAGTGATTGGGAGAAATGGTGCTGTCTTTTATCAGGAACAGGTTACAGAATGGAACAATAGAACAACTGAACAATGGAATATTGCATTTCATTGAAGAAGGACCTTGTGTACATGAATGTATAGCAACCTCCCCGCTCTCTAAGCACAGAGCTTTGAGTAGTTCTTATATTGCCTCGTTTCATTTTAATGAGAGTTCAAAGAAGAAACCAAGTGACAGAGCAAAATGTGTCCCTAAACAGGAAAAAAAACCCATGTGCAATTATAAAGTTCTGAATGCTAAGATTAGATTGGGTCTTTTGACATAGTTACTGCCTTGTGCTACAGTTTTATATATAGGATACCAAATCACTCACAGAAACAACTTTGATACTCAGCAGTTTTGTGGGTTACAGAATACTGTTGAGCCAACATTTACGTACTTAAATGCTGTTTGCAGAGAATTGCCCATAGACAAACTGACTAAATCAATCATCATATGTGAAATTCAAAGAGAAAAAATAATTTTATGTATGTGCATGTTTCAATCAGTATTTTTGGTCAATATTTGATTGATTTGTGAGTCTTTTTTTTTTCTTGTAAAGCTGGAAGAGATGTGTGTTGTACTTCTTCAAAACAGGAAAAGCTAGCTGACTTATGCTTAGGTATATTATAATAACAAGGAAATCTAGAGATGCTACATCTGTGTTGCCAGGTAATGTGGACTTGGCAAAATGAGAGGATGGCAGTACTGTTCACTCTTGGTTTTCCTGTTTTGTTTTTTTTTTTCCTATTCACACTTTTGACAGCTATAGACTCACTGTGACAACAGAGATGTGTTGAATAAAGGTTTCCAAGACTTGTGTTGGGCCTGATGGTATTACACACTCACAGTGCATGTGGAAAGTACCACAGAGCCATATTTACTGTGATACTAAGTCAGGGCTAGCTCAGGTCTCCAGATTGTTGCTTTCTGAAGTATTTTCTGTGTTTCAACATTCCGAAGAATGTTGAAGAGCTCCCTGTTGATTACAGTTCACTTTGGAATGACTAGAAGTAATTAATTAGTATAGACCCAAAAATAGGAATTCTTTCAGAAGGTTGTCATGAGTACAGAATAGTGGAAAGATCTTCCTGTAGAATTGTGTA